TCTGATAAGCCCACTGAGGAGGCAGGAGAGAAATTGACTAGCGAAGGAGACTCTATTGTTGACTCCTCTGTGGTGGACTCTGTCGATGCTAATATCAATGTTGCAGAGCCAGGGGTTGTGGTTGTTGGGGAGGTGAAGGAGGCAGAAATCAAGGAGGATGATGAGGTTGACAAGACTATTCCAAAAATTGAGGAAGCTGATGACCTTACTACTGCATATGATGGAGATTTTGAATTGGCTGCTAAGGAAATATCCGAGAAAGCCAAAGCAGAGCCTGACGAACCAAAAGCAGGTGTGGAAGAAGAATTGCCTGTTTCTGAAAGTTTAAATGTGGGTTCAGTTGATGCAAAGGAGGATTCAAAGCCACCAGCTGATTCACAGGTTGAAGCAAACCCTAACCCTGAGGTCCAGGAAGTTTCTGAAGGGGACAATGTTGAAGACGGTGGAGACAAGATCCCAGTCGCAGACATTGTTTCTTCTCGTGAGTTTAGCCTTGAAGACAAGGAAGTGAACCAGGAACCTTCTGGAAAAGGTGTTATTGGGGTTGATGGAGATGAAAGTGAAGAAGAAAGTGAAGAGATGATATTTGGGAGTTCTGAAGCTGCAAAACAGTTCTTGGCAGAGCTAGAAAAGGCTTCTTCCGGTATTGAAGCACATTCTGACGAAGCAAACATGTCTAACAATATGTCAGATAGGGTTGATGGCCAGATTGTCACCGATTCTGACGAGGATGTAGACACAGAGGATGAAGGTGAGGAGAAAATGTTTGATTCTGCAGCTTTGGCTGCACTTTTGAAGGCAGCCACTGGTGGGGGAAGTTCAGAAGGTGGTAATTTTACCATAACATCTCAGGATGGTACAAAGCTTTTCTCTATGGATCGCCCTGCTGGTTTGAGTTCATCTTTAAGACCGTTGAAACCTGCAGCAGCTCCACGTGCAAACCGTGCCAACATCTTTTCCAATACTAATGTCACAATGGCTGATGAGAGTGAGATTAACCTGAGCGAGGAAGAGAAACAGAAATTGGAAAAGTTGCAGAGCCTCCGTGTGAAGTTTTTGCGGCTTTTGCAAAGGTTGGGGTATTCCGCAGAAGATTCAATTGCAGCGCAGGTTCTTTACCGTATTGCTCTACTTGCTGGGAGACAAACAGGGCAGTTATTCAGTCTTGATGCTGCAAAGAAGAAGGCTGTGGAGTCTGAAGCTGAGGGAAATGAAGATTTGAACCTCTCTCTAAACATACTGGTCCTTGGAAAAGCGGGGGTGGGAAAAAGTGCTACGATAAACTCCATTTTGGGAAATCAGAAGACGTCCATTGATGCTTTTGGGCTCTCAACCACTTCGGTAAGAGAAATATCTGAAACAGTGGGTGGTGTCAAGATTAACTTTATTGATACTCCGGGTTTGAAGTCTGCTGCGATGGATCAAAGTTCAAATGCAAAGATGTTATCGTCTGTAAAGAAGGTACTGAAGAGGTGCCCCCCTGATATTGTTCTCTATGTGGATCGGCTTGATACTCAGACCAGGGACTTGAACAATTTACCCTTGTTAAGGACGATTACTGCTGCTCTTGGTTCATCCATATGGAAAAACGCCATAGTGACATTAACCCATGCTGCTTCTGCCCCTCCTGATGGCCCATCTGGCACCCCTTTGAGCTATGATGTGTTTGTAGCACAATGCTCACATATTGTTCAACAGTCTATTGGACAGGCCGTTGGTGATCTACGTTTGATGAACCCAAGTCTGATGAATCCGGTTTCTCTTGTCGAGAATCACCCTTTGTGTAGGAAGAACCGGGAGGGAGTGAAGGTTCTCCCGAACGGCCAAACCTGGAGACCTCAGCTGTTGCTGTTGTGCTACTCCCTGAAGGTTTTATCAGAAGCAAATTCTCTGTTGAAGCCTCAAGAGCCGTTGGACCATCGTAAAGTATTTGGTTTTCGAGTTCGATCGCCGCCTCTACCTTACTTGTTGTCTTGGCTGTTGCAGTCCCGTGCACATCCTAAGCTCCCTGCAGACCAAGGTGGTGATAGTGTTGACTCTGACATTGAAATTGATGATGTGTCTGATTCTGATCAGGAAGATGGGGAAGATGACGAGTATGACCAGCTGCCACCATTTAAGCCTCTTCGAAAAACCCAACTTGCAAAACTATCAAAGGAACAGAGAAAGGCATATTTCGAGGAGTATGATTACCGAGTAAAGCTCCTGCAGAAGAAGCAATGGAGAGAGGAATTGAAGAGGATGAGGGAAATGAAGAAAAATGGGAAGAAGGTGGGTGAAAGTGAGTTTGGTTATCCGGGAGAAGAAGAGGATCCCGAAAACGGTGCTCCTGCTGCAGTCCCAGTTCCATTACCCGATATGGTATTGCCACCATCATTTGATAGTGATAACTCAGCTTACCGATACCGATTCCTGGAACCCACTTCACAGCTCCTAACCAGGCCAGTATTGGACACCCATAGTTGGGACCATGACTGTGGATATGATGGTGTCAATGCAGAACACAGTCTTGCTATAGCGAGCCGGTTCCCTGCTACAGCTACTGTCCAACTCACCAAGGACAAGAAAGAATTCAACATTCATCTTGACTCTTCGGTGTCTGCTAAGCATGGCGACAGCGGATCCACCATGGCAGGGTTTGATATCCAGAATGTCGGTAAGCAGCTTGCATATGTGGTCAGAGGAGAAACCAAATTCAAGAACTTGAGGAAGAACAAGACGACTGTTGGAGGGTCAGTGACATTCTTGGGCGAGAACGTTGCCACAGGTGTCAAACTCGAGGACCAAATAGCACTTGGGAAAAGGTTTGTGCTTGTGGGCAGTACGGGGACCATGCGATCACAGGGAGATTCTGCTTATGGTGCGAACCTCGAAGTCAGGCTTAGGGAAGCTGATTTCCCAATAGGCCAGGACCAACACTCTTTAGGTCTGTCTCTGGTGAAGTGGAGAGGCGATTTAGCCCTCGGAGCCAATCTCCAATCTCAACTTTCTGTTGGAAGGCACTCGAAGATAGCCCTACGTGCAGGGCTTAACAACAAGATGAGCGGACAGATCACAGTACGAACCAGCAGCTCGGATCAGTTGCAGATTGCACTCACTGCCATCCTTCCAATCGCTATGTCCATCTACAAGAGTCTTCGACCAGAAGGGCCAACCGACAAGTACAGCATGTACTGAATATCTCTGCAGTTCCCTCTGCTGATGAATGCTGGAGAAGGATCTTTTATATTACTGGTTTTTTACTTCATGTTTTTTTCCCTACTTTAATAAAAACTTCTGTTGAGATTTTCTCAAAGTTGTATTTTGTTCTGTTGAGAGGTACCTGTCGGATTTATCTTGTATCAGTAATTTTTCACTTTTCAGTAATATTCCTCAGAAAATGGAGTCTAGTTCAGTCTTCTTTTGGTTCTAATTCTCATGCTGATGTTGTTGCTTGGATTGTGTTTGCTCATTTGTTACTTAAAATTTCTGCAGAAGATACTAACCCGGTGCGTACTCTATTCTCTGTTACTTAGACACAATCTCATTGTGTTCTTCACCAGGATCTTACAGTTCTTCCTTGGTCCCTTGAAGGTAATGGTATGTGTTTTAGCTTCTTACTAGTTCAGAAATCTGTAATAAGGCTTCTGCTGCTACACTCCAGTCTCCATTTTTTGTTATATTACATATGCTGATGTTGAGTCAAGAGAAGAACCGTGTATTGATGATGAAAAACACAAACTTGCTGCTCTAATCTGAGAGGTGAATAGTCCCAGAAACCTTATGTGTTTTGTTTTGTCTGATTTAAAGCTCAAGAAGATATCTTACTTGTCATTTTCAGATCCGACAAAGCATGGGAGACTTGAAGAATAAGAACGTCCAGTTAAAGTCTTATGTCAACTTCTTTACACAGAAAAAGGTCAAAAGTAAGATTTCCATAATTAAGAGATTGCAATCTTTATATGTTTTACTATAGAAGAGCTTGAAGATTAGATAAATCGTTTTTTCGATTCAACAAAGATCTCTCAAGAACAAAGACACACACACATAACTTGGAACAAAACAGAGGAGACAACAGAAATAAAAACAGAGTACTGAGAAATTGGGCAATGAAGCAGCCACTTATTTACTCTAAAGCATTATTATTGTGACTGAAGCATATCCATTTTGGTTTTCCTTTTCGAGTTTTCTTACTGAAGGATCTTCAAGGAAGCTGGCCTCTTGGTGATTTCAGACACCCAATCGTTTACACGTTGACGCTGGGTGAAGAGCTTACCGGTGGGAGTTCCGAGCAGATATTGAATCACTGGAATGTGGTGAAGATCAGTCAAAGTAAAAGTGTCACCAGCCATATACTTGGTCTCCTTGAGCCTAGCCTCGTAGACATCAAGGACCTTGGCTAACTTAGCCTCTTCTTCTTCAACAACGGCTTGGTCTGTGGTCAAGCCATACATGAGCTTGAACACTTGTTCCCAAGCAAGCTTTGNAGCCACTGGGTCGAATTCGTGTGCTTCTACTTGCATTCCAATGACCATGACTGTGTAGAGTGGTATGTTCTTAGAGTCGGATGGAAGAAGGTTGGTTCCTTGGTCTTCATATCTGTGAGCTATGTATTGAGTGATAGCTCTTGACTCTGCACAAAGAAGCCAATTCTCATGTTAGTGATCTTTCCTTGTTTTTGTATATTTATAAATCAGATTGGAGATTCAAAAAATCATACCGAAGAGCTTGAGGTCTCCATCTTCAAAGGCTGGAACTTTACCAAAAGGCTGCAGCATCGAAATCAAGAAGAAAACTTTCAAGATTCAGCAAAAAAAAGGTTGGTCTTGGTCTTGTCTTACAACAAGACATAGGTAGATAGGTGTACTTACGTTGCGAGAGAGGAAAGGCTCTTTCTTGTGTTCACCGTCTTTGAGCTCAACATGAACTAGCTCAAAGTCGAGGTTTTTCTCGTGGAGGGCGATGAGGACTCTCCTGGTGGAAGTTGAAGCAGCGTGTCCGAAAACTTTGATGCCTGCCATTGATTTAGTTACTAAAGAAGTAGAGACAAGAGTGAGAGATTTGATGTTGAAGGTGAAGGTGATGCAATAAGACACAACTAGTGATGGTATTTTATACTGGATAAAGCTTCTAAATAAAGTTTTCAATTGCATTAGTAATGGCCAAATGTCATACAAGTGCATAGTAAACTTCCACGTACTAGTCAAGCTTGTCTAGTAACTTTACATCCTTTGGTTAATTCCGGTTCGGTTAGTTGTTTTGGTTCAATAGGTTTTCTCTCCGGACGATGAAACTCTGAATCATGTATTGCGTTGTGGTGTTCTTCACCAGGATCTTACTGTTCTTCCTTGGTCCCTTGAAGGCAATGGTAGGTGTTTTAGCTTCTCACTAGTTCAGAAATCTGTAAGTCTTCTTCTGCCACACTCCAGTCTCCACTTATTGTTTTATTATACATATGCTTTGAAATAGATTTCAATTCTCTAAAACATTTTGAAATCATTGGATTATATCGGTCAAGAGAACTGGATGATTACATATGTGTGTCTTTGCTGTTGTTGATTGTGTCAAGAGAAGACCTGTTATTGATGATTAAAAATACAAACATTTATGTATTTTGTTTTGTCTGATTTAAAGCTCAAGACGATATCTTACTTGTCATTTTCAGATCCGACAAAGCATGGGAGACTTGAAGGCCGTCCAAAGTCTTATGTCAAACTTCTTTACACAGAGAAAAGGTCAAAAGTAAGATTTCCTAGATCAAAACTCACTATAGTCTTTGTATACTATTCTCAGTAATCAGTCACTCCA